TTTCCAGTTCCTGTAATATAAATGTTGATCCTCCTGAGTTTTGCCTTCCTTCCAAAACATCAAAATCCTCCAAACTCCAGTAAGTACATTATTACCAGATCACATTTCTCCATATGAATTCACCAGTTATATGAGAATGTGAGACTAAATTTTGAGCACTAGAGGAACAGAACCCTTATGGTAGGAATAACACAGCAAGGGACTCCCTACCTCGTGTGCTTGCTTTCAAGAACTTGTTAGGGCTTTGAAAACTTCTGCAGAAATAAAATTTTCCTTTGCCGGGATACTTTGGGTTGTGTCATTCTTGGGACCACAGCATCACTTCCAACAGGACCCCAAGGAGGGGTCTGCAGTGACAGTATGATAACATAAACGTAGGGGCTGTGGGATCAGCTGTGAGGGAGAAGATCCAATGGGTTAGTGTGAAAGCTGGAGACAGAGGTCTTCTGCCACACAATGGAGGCTCCTAAGTAGTTCTAGACAAGGGCTGTTTCTTCTTTAGAGAAGGTGACATTCTTGTAATATATGTAGCCTGAAGTCACTGTTGGGATGGCATCACCGGAAGCTGCCTATTCTGTTGAAGTACTGAAGATTTCATAAGTGATTTCCATGCCTCCCATTTACAGTGACATCTAAACTCGTGATATCTAAACCAATGACATTCATTTTCTCTAAGATTTAGTTTCACTGCACGGGTATAAACATTTCCAAACAAAATATATAAATGAAAAAAATGTAATTGCTATTCTTCATACAATAGGAGCAAATTAACAAGTGGCAGGAGATAGTTTTGTTATTCTGGTAAGTTCCAGGCACAACTTATGGTCATGACAATAATGACAGTAGCTTTGTTTTGTTGATTTATTTTTAGCTACATGTAGAACATTTGCTAATTGCAGAATGAGGTCCAATTTCTTCTGCATATAACTTTATTAATCATCTTGCATTTTTTTTTCTTTTCTTTGTTTTCTGACACAGGGTCTAGCCATGGCTAGCCAGGAACTCACAAAGATCTTACTTTGTCTTCCAAGTGCTTACTTTTTAATACATCTTACCATAATTCTGAATGAAGGAGAATCTGTATGCTGTAGAATAATCTTTTTGTATACTGTGAAGATTTGTCACTGTGATTGGTTTAATGAAGAAGCTGACTGGCCAATAGCTGAACAGGATAAAGTTAGGCAGAAAAGCTAATGAGAATGCTGGGAAGGAGAAGAGTGGAGTCAAGAGAGACCTTAGCTAGCCACTGGGAAGCAAGACATGCTAGAGGACAGGTAAAGCCATGAGCCATGTGGCAATACATAGATTAATAGAAATAGGTTAATTTAAGTTCTAAGAACTAGTTAGTAACAAGCCTGAGCTATCAGCCGAGCATTTATAATTAATATTAAGCCCCGAGTGGTTATTTGGAAACTGGCAGGCAGGAGAGACATGTCTGACTACATCTATATTTTTGTATATTTTAAACTTTCAGATGCTAAAGTTCAGAGGAGTTAAAAAATGTGCCCCCCAAAGTATATAATCAGTGATAAAACAGGAAATTGAACCAAGCAAAGTCTAAAACCCATGGCAACCACTGAAGCTGACATCAGCCATCTTTCTCTGTGCTTCTATAACACAATACCCTGGATTGGGTCTTTGATGAAGCATTGGAATTTATCAGTTATAGAGGTCCAAGATTAGGTTTCCTTAATTGATATGTTTTAGCCTCATTTCTGCACCTTTTATCCATAACTTATGAGTAGTGATCTCCTGACCCCGTATTTAACTTTAGCTCATAGAACAGGGCACAGTAAAGCATGTAGCACCTCCACAGTGGCATGAAGGGGCTGGACCAGTGACTGGATGTTGGTCTTCAGCAGGCTATTCTGTGATGCTTGGGACAGTAAGGCAGGGAGTAGAGGTGGCAGAGACATCTTGATGGCAGAAGTCCTTGGTGGAAGATTGGGAAGGGGAGAGCAGAGTAGTTTTGTGCCCTGCGTGGTGCTGAAGAAGGCAGCACCCCCCCACATGCACCCCATAACCAGTCCTGGGCAGCAGTAGGGGAGGGTGGAAGATGCTCACACCTTTGTGACTTCTTTTTTCTCTGGCCCTGAGTCTAAAAATGTGAAGAAGGGTGCAATGAGGATCCTCATGAAGAGTGTTTTAGCTTGATCATGGACTTGGGTTCAATTGTGTCCCAACAAAATTGGTCCATTGACACCCAGCACCTGTCTTGTGAGCCCATTCAGAGGTAATCTGGTTAAGGTGAGATGAGGGTGAATCCTAATCCAGTCTCACTCTCTTTATCTTTATTATTATTATTATTATTATTATTATTATTATTATTGACTAATGTCACAGTAGCGGTAAAGGCCTATTGAGGGGAAATTATTTCCTTTTAGTCAAGAAAATGAAATCTTTGGCCTGAGAGAGACCTAATTGTGGAGGCCTGTTAGAGGTTTCCTAGCGAGATCTGAGCTTGCTTTACCCAGCAGGGCTGCATTAGAGGATTGCTTGATCACATGCATGGTTACTAGGTGATTGGAAGGGTCTACACTTGGCTGAGCTAGGGGGAGTTCTTTTGCTCCACCCCTTGGCATTCCTATAAAAGGCCCTTTAGAAGAGACAGGAGGGGCTGGTGGATAAGGATCCAGGCCCTCCTGAGCTATCCTGTGTTTCTATCTGTTTCTCTCCCCTCTATCCTTTTATCTAATATGTCTTATCCCTCTCTCCTCAAGGGTTCCCTGTTGTAAGATGTAGGCAGGTCAATCTGCTGGCTAAACAATGGACCCCTCAAGTAGTCAGATCTGCTTAAGTCAGCTTAAGAGATAGAGGAATAATTACCCCTTTAATAAGAAAAGTAATCTTTCTTTCCAGAGTTCCAGTGATGAACCAGTCTGCCACCATCTTGGGCTTAAGAGCCATCTTACAGTAAAGACAAACTAGGCTCATTCCTGTTTATGATTAAACCTCTTTTTCTGAAGGATTGGGCTATGCCCCACCTGTAACCTTAACTACAAATGGTCTGTACTGCCTGTTCCAGGAAATGGCAATCAGGTCTCTATTTTAAAAAATTATTATAATTATCTTGCAATCCTACCTTTTTTCAAAGGGTTTTTATGACTACTTTGTTATGACATATGTTGTTATGACTACCTTGTTATGACCACCTGCAGTCTTGTCTTTGTTTCAGGATGCTGTCATGACTAACTTGTTATGCTTATGTTCTGCTCCTGTAAGCCCCACTCCCCCAAACCCCAGCTACAAAAACCTTGTCTTCCTCACATCCAATGCTGATTTCTTGAACCCTGCCTTAGTGGGAGGCAGCCTGCGTACATGAATAAAAAAGCTTGCTTTAGTTAATTGTTTGCTTTAATTAATTTGGCTGTAATGACTTGGGTCGATGGTCTTTCTCCTCATATCTTGGGATTAGCACTTTCCTCTCTAGCGCAGTCACTTATGGAACTTTAACCAAGGAACTTCATAAGTCTGCCCACTTTTTAAAAATTACTCAGAAAAGTATGCCTTTCCCTTTTCTTCTTCCTGTCTCGGTTCTAAGCCTGCTTTTCTAGGGCTTCAGCTGTACTCTTTCTGTTCGGTACCTCTCCCTGTGTCAGTTGGCTGCTCATCTGCCCTGTGACTGCACTCCATGTTAATCTGACTCAAATGGGGCTGGCTCTTTCTCTTCTTCCTTCTCTAGGCAGCAGCTGACATCCACAGCTGCCTACCCTGGGCTTTCTTTTAAACTCTAAAAAACTGTCCTCAAGAGAGCTTGCTTTCTTTTGACAAGGAAAGCTCTGGCTGGCCTAGAACTTATTGTGTAGATCAGATTGGCCTCAAGCCCACAGAAATGTGTGCCTGCCTTTGCCTCCTGAGTGCTGAGGTTAGATGTGTGCACCGTTAAACCCAGCTCCAGCTTTCTTTTGACTCCATTCTTAAATTCTTATTTTATTAAGGAAAGTAGGAACCTCAAGAGGGGAACTCAATTTTCCTGGTAGTCCTGGCCTTTAGTTAAAAAGGGAAGCTTGGACACAGACAAGAAAGACACCATGTGACCTTGGAGACAGTCACCTATAAATTAAGGAGAAATGTCTGGAATAAATCCTTCCCTTTGGGCTCTCAGAAGGAGCCAAACCCACAGATAATTTGGTTTTGGATTTTGACCCTCCGTAACTGTGAGGCTCTCTCTGGGTTTAAAGCTGCCCATTCTTGCTGCAGAGACCCTTGCAAACAAATGCACCCACTAGTAGGCCAGAGGGTTTAGGATTTGTGTGTGGAGGAACAGTTCTTGTTTTTGAGTGGGTGATCAATATTTGAGTCCCTCCCACTTTGTTTCTTTCTGTTTCAGTGACCGATTCCAGTAGGGGTTTTGTGGTCAGAGGCACGCCTAACTTCTAGTAGTTATCTATGGAAATAAATCCATTCCTATAGAATGGGTGTTACAGTACCCACCCCCCTTGGGGGCTTACAGGACTTTATGCCTGTAAATGAATGCTAAGATGTCTTTCTACCATAAAGTTATTCAATGAAAAGTCAGTTTGTATATCATGTGACTTGATTAATCTCCCCTCAAAATAATGCTAACTAGAGCAAGATGAACCTTGACACAAGGATGGCCAGTTCACAGGTCTGGCCAGTCACTTGTGTGTGACCTGGTGTAGAGAGACGGGTGGGCACCTAGATAGCACTTGTGTTGGTCAGGGTTCTCTAGAGTCCCAGAACTTATAAAATGAATCTCTCTCTTCATATATATATATATATATATATATATATATATATATGGAACTTATTGGAATGACTTATAGGTTACAGTCCAACTAATTCAACAATGGTTGGTTGTGAACAGAAAGTCCAAGAATGTAGTAGCTGCTCAGTCCCATGAGGCTGTGTGTCTCAGCTGGTCTTCTGTATATGCTGGAATCCTGAAGAAATAGACTCCAGTGAAGGAATGGATGTGCTGGCAAGTGAGGGTAAGCAGGTAAAGAAAGATCCTTCCTTCTTCCATTGTCCTTATATAGGCTTCCAGCAGAAGGTGTGGCCCAGATTAAAGGTGTGTCTTCCTGCCTCAAGATCTGGATTAAAGACATGTTGTCTTCCTGCCTCAAGATCTAGATCAGAGGTATGCCTTCCATCTCTGGATTATAGTTCATTGTAGATATAGTCAAGTTGACGATCTAGAACAGCCATCATAGCACCCTTGGGCATTTGGACTGAAGAACACAGAAATAAATGGCTGGTAGGATCTCTCCTGAAGAGCCATGAGGTACAGTCAGGGCCCAAAGGAATCTGAGGGCTGAAGTTCTGGGTAGAAGCAGCCAGAAAGATTCTAAGTTCTGCTCCATGAACACAGCTTCAGCTGGAGGAAAATTGGGAATGGAACTGAGGCAGGAGACTGGTCCCATCCAAGTTCTGCAGTCAGTCTTTCTTAAGTGGGGGATCACAGGACATTTCCTTCGCTTCATTGAAGGTTCTAGCTAAACCAAAGGAGGCTCTGTATTAAAGCAAGAGGTCAGAAATGTCATGTGTGTTCTTCCAGGTTCTTCTGTGAGTCTACCTGTCATGGTAGGGCTGGGACCAAGAGCAGGGGCAGACTGAGGATGGACACCATTGTTGGCCTCTCCCTCCCCTGTCTCTGAGACCATCCTGCCGGCCCCCAATCTGTCCCTTCTTACCCCTGGCTTCTCTTGCTGAGAGCTGCATGCTGCTGGCTATGTGCCCAACACAGTTGCTGAAGACAGAGTGCTGGAGAAGAAGGACATGATCTATGGTGTTTACAGGCAAATGTAAAGATCAGAAACAAGTCAATAGAAACTGCACAGTACCATGCCGTGAAGAAATGAAGGAGGATAATTTGATGGACTGCGACAGGGTGGCAGTGCCTGGTAGATCTGAAGTCTTCCCAGGCCGGTCATGCAGGGCTGCTCTTGGATTAGCGCTTAGGGAGTTTTGCATTTTTCTCTCTGACTTTACCTGGTCCTGCATGAGAAGCGAAGGAACATGGGCCAGAACAATAAGGGCAGGGCTGGCTAAAGCACAAATCATTCGGTAGGCAGAGTAATTGTGTAAGGTAGCCGTTGACAAGCCACAAACAGGGAGGAGGTGGTAGAACTCTTCTCTAAAGACAAAAAAATAGTACAGAGCCTCGCTCTTTTGAAACCTGGTTCCACTTGAAGCCAGGGACAGGACGGGGCATCATTCCTGGGGTAGCTGCCTGACTGCAGGAATCCTTTGTGAACACAGAGCACTTAAAGGAAGTGCAGTAATTCCAGGTGGCTGTAGATTTTGCCTTGTGTGTTTGTCCTAAGTTTCCTGAAGAAACTATTTGCCCCTATTTTTAAAGAGTGCAATGACCTTCAAAATCTTGTCAGTGAGAACCTGACATAGTCCCAAGAGACACAGGCATTGTCTCCACCTTAGCACATATGGCCTGCTCGTGTAGGGACCACCAAATGAAGGCTGCTGGGACTGTAGCTTCTCTGAAGAAGGGCTTACACAGCTCGCTCAAGAAGTCATTCACAATGAGGTGGCTTTTGCTCTTTTCAAAGTGCCCAGGTGTGTGTGTGTGTGTGTGTGTGTGTGTGTGTGTGTGTGTGTGTGTGTGTGTGTGTTTAATCTGGTTTTCTATAAATATTCAAGATGTTTGTTCACCACGATGAGGGGAGAGGTGGTACATTCCTTCAAGAAAGAGGTCCTAGCTGCCGTCTAGATTTCATTTCAAGTGACTGGCTCTCAATTCATACTTGTGTCTTTGCTGATGTTGATTTTAATCCAGGGCTAAGAATTCAAGATTTTGTTCTGAGTATTCCAGAAATTTCCTGTTTCTGTTGAGCAGGATAGAGGACCCGGAAGAGTGAAGAGACTCTCCTGAGCATGGGCTCCTCCTAGACTTGGGTGTTTTGATGGCTGATGGAAGGGTTGGAGGTGAATGCTCAGCTGTGAGGGTGCCTTCTCCTACAAATCTGACTGTGAAGACTATATTTTACGTCGTACACTATTTCTTTTTCTGTTAGTGTTTCACTGGGTATAGGGTGGTATTTTTATTTCTCTTTATCTAGTTGATTTGAAGTCCATACCACGAAGGAAGGAAAATTACTACTAGAAGCTTTGGGGGAGCGGTTACAATTATAGAAATTATGTTAGGAAAAAGAACGCCATCTTCAAGAAACTATTCCTTCTCTGGTGGAGAAACAATTAGGGAACAATCTGAGGCAGTCCATAATCAAGCGCTAACTGTGTGGGGTGGGCAGTGAGCACCACATGAATTCAGAGAAGGGCAGAAGACCAGGATACAACTCAGCAGTCTGTGGCAACCATCAGCTCCCAGGGAGGCATGTCTGCATTTTCCTTCAGACTTAGCCCACTTTGTGAATCTACCATTAATGGACAGGATCCGAGCTTTTCATGCCTGGTGGCATATTGGTGACAGTAGAGCCTGGATAAATGGGATGTGGAAATAAGTCACCTACAGCAAGTCCCCCTGGCATGGGAGTGAGCAGGCAGCAAGATGGCCTCTGCATGACAAGCACCCGCTTCAGTCTCCCTGACAACAGTTTCTGCCGAGCGGAAAACCATTCAGAGGAGGATCACCGCAGTGATAGCCTCCGTTTTCCAAGGGAATAAATCTTTTCTGCAACAGAGGTTGGCAGCTAAATTTCAGTTCCCTTGGCTCCCCTCCTTCATACCATGCACAGAGCGGCTCAAAGGCTGGTAGTGGCCGATGGTAAATACTTTTCATAGGGTGTGAGGCCATGGGTAGAAATCTCTCCGGATTTCCAGAGACATCACCTTCCTAGCATGAAGGGTTAAGATCAGTCAGGCTGTGGGTGTGAGCGGGCTTCAACCCTGAAAGAGATATTCTTTGTGGGGGAAAATATAGACCATTTTCTCTGACAGATGTGGTGAGCATGAAAAGAAGTCCTAGCAATCAGGACTATATTCAAGTTCTAATCAAAGAAGGTAATTAATTGAGACCTGGTTCACCTGTCTGCCAGCAGGACCGGAAACCTGCCTCAATTGCTTGTTTTAGTCACAGACTTCGTAGAACACATGCCATCCACGGTACATGGGCTATCTTGGCTCCTTTTCCTGTTGTTGTGATAAAATACCTTGAAAAGAACTAAAGGGAGAAAGGTGTGCTTCAGTCCACAGTTCAAGGGCATGGTCCATCACAGCAGCAAGTCAAGCCCAGGAACTTGAAGCAGCGGGCCACCGCATATCCCCCAGCAGGAAGCAGAGAGGTATGAATGCCTCTGTCCAGTTAGCTTTTCCCTTTTTGTACAGTCTACACCCCAAACTCGGGGGGATGGTGCTTTCCACTTTTGGGTCAATCTTCCCACCTTAGTTAATCTAATCAAAACAATCCCTCCCAGCCGTGCCCAGAGCTAAGTCATCCCTCACAGGGGCTCATCTCCTAAGCTACCCCAGAGCCTGTCAAATTGACAACACTGGCCCTCACAGTAGCCGCGACCTCCTCAGAAGCATACTTTGTTTGCCTAGGGTTTTGTTCTTTTCTTTGCTAAGTGTGAAAATATGAATAAACACATGGGTTATTATTGTGATAGGATTATACCTACTGCAACCCACCCCTCATGCAGAGGATCAAACCCAGGGTTTCATGCATGCTGGGGAAGTACCCCCCCCCAATGAGCTACGTCCCTGTCCTATGACCAGATTTTAGTGTGCATTTAAAAAGCTAAGTTCCTTTTGTGAGAAACGGCCTTCTGCATCAATAGGTTAAAAACCTGAATAATAAAAGAATGCTTTGTTTATTCTCCATAAAAACATTAAAAATTTTTTTTTTAATTTTTTTTTTTTTAATCTCAGGGCCTGGATTGAGTCACTGAGTTGAATTAGGTTGTGAAAGAGCAGTTTGCATTCAAGATCCCCAGTCCCAGTGACTTCAGAAATCTAAATGGAGACTGTTACCCGGCAATTGAAATAATAATGATGACAGCTCATATTTCTTGAGTCTTTACCGTGTGCAGACACTACGGTAAGGGTTTACATGTTACTTCACCATAATCCTCATAACCATTACATTCCTTTGTGTTAGTTATTTTTGTATTGCTGTGACAAAAACACCATGACCAAGAGAACTTATGAAAGAAAGCATTTAATTAGACTACTCATTTCAGAGGGTGAGAGTCCATGATGGCGGCACAAAGGCACGGTGGCAAGTTCACATCTTGATTCCCAAGTGGAAGGCAGAGAGGGAACACTGGGAATGGCAATGAGTCCTTGGAAACCTCAGAGCCCACCCCCACTGACACACCTCCTCCAACAGGGCTGAACTTCCTAGTCCTTCCCAAATAGGTCCACCAATGGGGACCAAGTATTAAAACATATGAGCCTGTGGAGGTCATTCTCATCCAAACCACTGCATCCTTGTTTAGCAGACAAGGAGCCAGACAGGAAAGACACAGACAAACTGGCCAAGGGTAGCAGAGCTGGGCCCACACTCGAGCAATTTAATGCAAAGACCACGTGCTCAACTGTTGAACTATTCCATGCAGCACACTTTTTTGTTCAGGTTTTGATGCACTCTAAAGAAAATCCTTTAAGCTAGGACCCTGTTCAAAGCTGCTCAACCAAGGTTTACCTTTTCTTGAAGGCAGAACATGTTTGCCTTGGTGGCAAAGAAGACACAGTCTAGGTTCTTCAAGATCTGAGCATTGTTCAGCTGGTTCAGGTAATTGTCTTTTCAAGTCTATGTCCCTGCCACAGAGACAGGAATTAGAAAAAGGGAACCTCTCAGATATGTATATATAGAGAGAGAGGCGGGGAGAGAGAGGGGAGAGAGAGGGGAGAGAGAGGGGAGAGAGAGAGGGAGAGAGAGGGAGAGAGAGAGAGAGAGAGAGAGAGAGAGAGAGAGAGAGAGAGAGAGAGAGAGAGAGAGGAGAGGAGAAAGAGAGGAGAGAGATGAGAGAGAGGAGAAAGGAGAGAGAGAGAGACAGAGACAGAGACAGAGAGAGGAGAGAGAGAGAGAGAGAGATCGAGCCAGCGAGTTGGAGATTTTATTTCCCCTAAGAAGTTGTTCAAGTCTTTAAGTGTGAGCAGGATAACTACTTTTAATCCCTCATTCATTCAGGCCAGTGATGTCACTTGATCGACCTTGTTTACACAGTCTAAGAAGGTCATTCCCAGGCCAGCTAATCACAAGGCCATGACGGTAAAAGTCGGATTTACCCAGTTATTATCTGGGTTGCTATATTTGCGTTGGTCCTTCCCACATATGCCCACAGAACCTCCTCTTTCCTGTAAACGGAGGCAACTTTGTATGTTTTCCCTACTTGCTAAACAAAAGCCATTAAGTATTGATTTTTCTTCAGTGAATGCACCAGAGAAATTTCCCTTAAGGATTCGAGCGAAAACAGTGAAAGTATTATTCAATATATCATATTTCTGCAAAGGTTTCCACTGATTTTTATTAGACACACGGGCTGAATTGCTTTAAGCATGCTTTTATTCCTCTCGCAGGACTGGATTGGTTTAGTGTTTGGTTTTCACCGTCTTTAAAGCATCGGCCTGGTAGCCGGGGCAGGAGACATGCGCAGTCTGTCTCCACGCTGGTGCCCTCTAGCCACACCCGGGGTTAAGACTATCTGACAGGGCCTAGTAGAGTCTTGTAACAGCCAAAGTAAAAAACTCCTGAGAAAAGGAAACCAAACCTCTCTTTAAAAATGAAGTAGCCATTTATCTCCCCTCCCTTCAAAGTTGCCGCTCCCCACACCTCTGTTTCCTGACCTCTGTGGGTATTCCAAAGGAAATTCAAAGCTGACATCCACAAATCAGAGGAAACATGGGATGTTTATCTTTCCGAGTCTGGGGTACTTAATTCGGAATGATTGTTTCCAGCTCCATCCATTACCTGTGAGTTCCATAATTTCGTCTTTCTTAATAGCGAAATAATATTCCATCGTGTGAATATGCCACGTTTTCATCGTCCATGCATCGAGAACGGGAAAGCCAGAGGTGGCAGCTGACTAGAGAAGGGAACCGAGCGGGCAGCTGCACCGATGAACCCGCAGCGGCTCTGACCGGATGTGGCTCCCGTTGTGTCTGGAGACCGTTCCCTTGCAGCCATGCCCCACCTCTGTCTCTTGCAATCTTTCTGCCTCCGTTTCCTCATAGATCTCTGAGCATCATGGACAACCAGTAATTGCGGTGACAATCCCCATTCAGCCATGTGAGACTCGAGGCCTGCTTGTCCCCATAATGGCTTGAAAATGATGAGTTACGGAACAAAGCATCTGGGAAGACTTGTCATTTCAGCTAATTAGCTGCTTCATTGTAAAATTGGTTCTTTGAGAATTTTTGTACAATGTGTTTTGATCATAGTCACGACTCCCACAACTCCGCCCAAGTCACCCCTACCCCTCTCTGGCCACCTTTGTGTCCCCACCGTATCATCTAGTCCAGTCTGTGCTGCCCGTGTATTCTCGGATGCGTGGCCTTCCACTGAAGCCTGGTTGACTTACCAGAAGCACTATCTTTTTTCTTTTAGTTACTGCTGAATTCTTCTGTGTCTTTTTTTATTTAATTTTTTTTCTCACACAATGTAATTTGATCATGTTTTCCTTTCTCCCAACTCCTCCCAGATCTTCCTACCCATCCGATCAACTTCATGTTCTTTCTTTCTCTCAAAAGAAAAATAAAAACAAAAAGTGGAAATCAAAACAAGCAAAAAAACCCAATAGAACAAAAACTGCCAAATTAAAATGAAAAGTCTGAAAAAATAAAACAAAACCAAAAATGGAGGATTTTTTTTTTTTTTTTTTTTTGAGACAGAGTCTCTTTACATAGCCCTGGCTGTCCTGGAATTCACTATGTAGACCAGGCTGGCCTTGGACTCAGAGATCCACTACATCCACTTTGATTTTCTCATGTAGAATCCGGTTCTGGGCCTGGCCCCTAGGCCCTCATGTTTAAATTTGTTCATCTGAAAAAAAAAAAAAATTTGTTCATCTGTATCAGTTCCAATTATGTTATTTTCCAATGGAATACAAGTGAATCAACTCTGTTCAATAAATATTTATTGGGCACTGAGTAACTGCAAAGCCCCTGTGGAGAATTAAAAATGGCTCCAGATACTTCCATGTTCTTCCCATCGAGAACTGGCTCTTGCCCCTGCTTTTGAATGTAGGCTGATTTGGGAAATGATATGATCAATAGACTACACAGGGAATGTGGCTGTGCTGATCTGGGGACTCAATCCTCAAGAAACTAACAACTTCTACCTCTTTTCTCTTGAGACACCGTCTGGGAGTGCTGAGATGCTGTATGGGAAGGTCAACTCTACTGACCCCTATGCTGGAGTGAGGCCATGGGTAACCACCAAGTACCGCAGCCCCAGAAGAACATAGGTTTCCAGTCAGTCCCCGGAGGGGCTGAACTCATGAGTGAGGTCACCTAGAATGCTCCAGATGAGCCCGCTGAGACCCAGCTACCATCACTCTGTGGACAGAAGACTCACTCTGCTGGACCCAGTCCAAATCTTCAACTCAAAACTTATGAGATACGATTGATGACCACCTTCAGTTGCCTAAAAACTCCAAATCAGAGCAATAGGTTTGCTGAGACCTGAACTCGCATTTTGCTCTGAGACACTGTGGGGGCAAGTGAGCTGACGTGCATAAGGAGCTGATTGCTGGGTTGACCACACGGCAAACACAAAGCAAGTCCAGCTGTTACTCAGAGCTTGATCACTTGATTTCATTCTGCACATCCCTGCTTGAACCAATCATCAGTTAAGTATTTAACACGGCAAATACTGTATAGCCGCTGTTCCCTCGATATCATTGTCTTCTTCGAGCTCTGAACCTTTGATTCTTGATTTGGTGCAGTGAGCACAAATGAAAGGGGTGGTTTAGCCTCCCGTGAAGCGGGGTGGAGTCACACAGCTAAGTTTGTACCCATGGCAGATAAACAGAAGTAACTGAGCACCTTCTAGGAAGTACTCTTCTTGTTCATGGTACTTGGAACACAAATATGTTGGCAAGAGCCCAAGTCCTCCCTCCATCTTACAGTTTTAGTGAGGTCTGTGTTAAGAATTTGAGGTTGTCTTGGTTAGTTTGGTTTTGGTCAAATGTAGATTTAGCTTTAACTACAACTCCTTCGGTGTGTACGTTGGTGCAGATGATAAACTGAGCAAAAGCTGTGGGAGCCCGTTTTCAGGTTCCTCGTGGCTTTACCCAGCAGGTCCGAATAGAGAGGATGATTAGGACCACGGGCCTGAGTGCAGGTGTCTGAGATGGTCTGCACGTGGCTGTGCTGGGGGAGGAGGTCTTTTGCTCCACCCCTTGGTGTCTCTATAAAAACCCTGGGACAGGCCGGGCGGTGGTGGCGCACGCCTTTAATCCCAGCACTCGGGAGGCAGAGACAGGCGGATCTCTGTGAGTTCGAGGCCAGCCTGGGCTACCAAGCGAGTCCCAGGAAAGGCGCAAAGCTACACAGAGAAACCCTGTCTCGAAAAACCAAAAAAAAAAAAAAAAAAAAAAAAAAAAAAAACCCTGGGACAGAGACAGTCGGGCCCGTTGGAATAGGTTCCAGGCCCTCTCGAGGCTATTCTGTATTTTCTACCTGTTTATCTCCGCACTCAAAATCCTTCTATCTAATATTTCCTGCTGCTCTCACTCAAGAAAACTCTGGGAAACTGTGGGGTTGGTGGGTAGCCATCCCACACCAAGACAATCTCAAATTTTCAACGTTTCTTTCTCTCATAAAAATCATCCAGAAAACAGAATCCAGGGTGAAGGCGGTGCCCCAGGGTGCCAGGATCCCACTGTCTAACTTGACTCATTCCAACATAACAACACAGACTTCACTAATACTGGGTAAGATGGAGGATGTGGGCTCTTGTCAACATATATGACAAGGGTTACAGAATAGATGGAAACAATGTCCATCTCACACTGTGTATCAGGGACTCTTCATCATCTCCTCTTGTCTTCACGATGGTCCTGTGTAAAAATGATGGTCATTATTACCATCGTTATTGGTTAATCCCATCTTAGAGAAGAAGGGAATGATCCAGAGAGTCTAGGTCATTTGATTAGGCTCAGGGTAGTAAAGGGAAGCCTCAGATCTATACCACCCTTCTCCATTCTTAGTCATTTACCATGTCTGCCCCATCGCTCTGGACTCGGGAGGGTGTTATTGAAGTTTAATGAGATGACTTATACTGGACTTGGATGGACTAGCAGCTATTGAAAGACACAGAGTGGGAGTGATAAGTTTTAAGTCCCCTGTGCTGATGTAATAAGCCAATCAAACTGAATTAATAAATCCAGGTTTAATGAGCAAAGCAATCCTGGGTGACCCTTGGAAAGGCTACGGAAGGATCATAAGGGAAGAGTCCTAAGGGGAAGAGTCACGTGGCAAATATGGCTACCAGGCCGTAAGTACCCTGGAGGTGTGGTCTTGAGCAGCCCCAGGGAGGGCCTGGCTTTTGGTGGGCTTTGAGGGGGTGGGGTCTGGAATGGGAGGGCAGCTTTAGGGGAGGGACTGCTGTTTGGTGGGCTTTGAGGGGGTGGGGTCTGGAATGGGAGGGCAGCTTTAGGGGAGGGACTGCTGTTTGGTGGGCTTTGAGGGGGCGGGTGTGGAGGGAGGGATGTGGGAGGGATGTGAGAACAGGGAGAAAGGGAAGGGATTCCAGGAGAGAAGGTGAGCAAAAGTGACCAGTGTGGCAGTCTTCCGGGGCTGCCGCACGTGGGCTAGGGTGTGGAGGAGATTCACTGGGAGGGTCTGATTCTGAACGGCACGGCACGTCGACTCTGCTTTTGGACTGTGTTTCCCCACTTTTGTATGTGTGTGCTCTTTTCTTTTTTAGCAGGCATGGTGGCTCCCACTGAAGGGCCCCAGCATACTTGCTTAGCCTAACGCCATTTTTGAGCAAGGCCTGAAAAGTAACTAAAGGTCAGAAAAACAACTTGTACCCTGGATAAGAGCCAAGTCAGCAGGCGTGTCGAGCTCGGGGAAAAACCACAAGCTGTCCTGAGTTTGAACCTGGCCTCATACGAATCGTCCAATCAGAACCCTGTAAACTATGCTTCCTGCTTCTGTACCCGCCCTTCTGCTGCCCAACCCTATAAAAACCCTCCACTCCAGCCCGTGGGCGCGCCAGTCTCTTCAGCCTCTGGAGGGACTGTATCGCCCCGGGTACCCGTGTTCCTGAATAAAGCCTCTTGCTGTTTGCATCTGACTTGTGGTCTCGGTGTGATCTCTGGGCGAGGGTCTCTCCAGAGGGAAGACTCCAGACGGGGGTCTTTCATTTGGGGGCTCGTCCGGGATCGGAGACCCCTGCCTCAGGACCACCGACCCACTGTCAGGAGGTAAGCTGGCCGGCCACTATCTGTCTGTATTGTCTCAGTCTGTTTACTTGTCTTTCGTTTTCGTCGGACGTCCTAAGTCAGGTCTGAGTCGGTGGGGGCTGAAGGAGCTGACGAGCTCGGACTTCGCCCACCAAAACCCTGGAAGACGTTCCACGGGTATCTGAAGTCCCCTCTGGGGCACGGAAAGTCCCCCCTGGGGCACGGAAAGTCCCCCCTGGGGCATGGGAAGTCCCCTCTGGGGCACGGAAAGTCCCCTCTGGGGCACGGAAAGTCCCCTCTGGGGCACGGTTTTTCGGGGCCACCCACGCATCAGAAGGATACGTGGTACTGGCAGGGGACAGAGAATTCAAACACTCCGCGTCCCCATCTGAGTTTTTGCTTTCGGTTTTACGCCGGAGCCGCGCAGCGAAAAATTCTGTGGTCTGTCTTGTCTGTTTGTTTCTCGTTGTGTGTTTAACCCTTCTTTATTTGGAGACCACCATGGGACAGGCTGTCGCCACCCCATTGAGCCTAACCAAGGACCACTGGTCCGATGTTAAGGCCCGAGGAAACAATGAAGGTGTCATTGTCAGGAAGAAGAAATGGATCACCTTCTGCGAGGCCGAATGGGTCATGATGAATGTCGGCTGGCCGCGAGAGGGATCTTTTAACCTCTCTCTTATTTCGCAGGTGGAGGGTAAGGTTTTTGCCCCTAGCCCTTATGGGCATCCCGACCAGGTCCCATATATCGCCATCTGGAGATCACTGGTCGAGAACCCATTTCCATGGGTTAAGCCTTTCCTTCCGCAGCCCCCTCCAGTCTCTGGGCCTTCTGCGCCCCCCAACCCGGACTCCTCCCTTTACCCCGTGCTCCCTCACAAGGAGACTCCTAAGCCTCCAGTCCTTCCCCCAGACCCCAATACTCCCCTTATAGATCTCCTGACGGAGGACCCATATCGAGCCGGACCACCTGGAGAGCCGGCCGAAGCGGCCCCAGCCGCCGCCCCGGTGGCGGCATCCCCGGCCGTGCCCGTGGCAGATCCGGAAGTCACCTCGACTCGCAGGACCCACGGGGCTGAAGAAGAGGACGCAGCCCCGTCCCCCATTGCCGGCCGCCTCCGCGGCCGCCGGGATGGCCCCCCTAATGAGTCCAGGGCCTTCCCGCTCAGAGAGGGGCCGAATCGCCAGTTGCAGTACTGGCCCTTTTCAGCCTCAGACCTCTATAATTGGAAACAACATAATCCCCCTTTCTCTAGGGATCCTGTTGCCTTGACCGGCCTAATTGAGTCCATCCTAGTGACTCACAGGCCGACTTGGGACGACTGTCAGCAGCTCCTGCAGACCCTCTTAACAGTAGAGGAGAAGCAGAGAGTTTTCCTGGAGGCCCGGAAGCAGGTTCTGGGCGATGATGGGAGGCCAACCCAACTCCCAAATATCATCGATGCAGTTTTTCCCTTGACCCGCCCAGACTGGGACTTCAATACACCTGAAGGTAGGGAGCATCTACGTCTCTATCGCCAGTTGCTCTTAGCGGGTCTCCGAGCGGCCGCCAGAAGGCCTACCAATTTGGCTCAGGTAAGGAATGTGATACAGGGAAAGGAAGAAATACCCGCTGCATTTTTAGAGAGGCTGAAGGAGGCTTATAGGATGTACACTCCGTATGATCCAGAAGACCCAGGGCAAGCACCAGGTGTCATCCTATCATTTATCTATCAGTCTAGCTCAGATATCAGAACTAAATTGCAGCGGCTGGAAGGTTTACAGGCGCTAGGTTTGCCAGACTTATTGAAGGAAGCAGAGAAAGTGTTCAATAAGAGAGAAACTCCTGAGGAGCGAGAGGAAAGGAGATGGCAGAAACAAGAGGAAAGGGACAAGAAACAGCATAGGGAGATGAAAAAGGTTTTGGCCGCCGTTGTGTCTCAGGGACAGCGGAGAGAGGGAGATAGGTCGGGAGAGCGAAGGAGGCCACCCCTTGATAGAGATCAATGTGCTTACTGCAAGGAGAAGGGACACTGGGCCCGAGAGTGCCCCAAGAAGCCACAAGGACCCCGCCGGCCCAAGCCCAAGACCGTAGACCTCCTTAGTCTGGAAGACTAGGGGAGTCGAGGCCAGGAGCCCCCCCCTGAGCCTAGGATAACCCTCAAGATCGGGGGGCAGCCCGTGACCTTCCTGGTTGATACTGGTGCCGAACATTCAGTCCTAACCCATGCCGGGGTGCCTCTTAGCTGGCATTCTGCACTGGTGCAGGGGGCAACTGGAAACAAGAGGTATTATTGGACTGCCGAGAGAAAAGTCCAACTGGCATCAGGGCAAGTAACTCACTCCTTTCTGCACATACCTGAATGCCCCCATCCGCTGTTAGGACGGGACCTATTAACCAAATTGAAGGCACAAATCTATTTTGATGAGAAGGGACCGAGGGTCATGGGTCCTAAAGGAGACCCTCTACAAATCCTTGCCCTCAGTTTAGAAGAAGA